AACTCTTTTCGCTCGATGCGTTTTGATCACGAGGAGGGAAAAATGGAAGCGGGTCCATTGACTCGAAATTACCCGAATATTTTCGAATGTTTAACGAGCCATAATCCTTCCGTGGCTCCGTATGGCCTACAGAGACCGGTGATGCCTGATAGCGCTGAAGTGACTCAAGACGCTGGACATGGATTTTCATATGCGGAATCTCCCATACATTTGACTGGTATACGGAGCGGCCCGCACGACTTTATTCACACTTTGTCAGGGGGTGGCGCTCAAGGGGCGTTTAACCTGCAAACCAATTATCCCGTCTCAGCTGCATATTCATCGCTGGCTGCCCGTGGAAGAGAGTTCCTGCTACGCCGTGAACACGCAGTAACGCTGCCTTCTGTATCGTTACCACCTCACACCATCTCTGTGGACGTGACAGCTTCGTCGGCAGCGAATCTCGCTGTCCCAACACCGCCCCCTTCTGCGTTTCACCAGACGATCTTCACAACGAGCAATGTTGCCCTCCATGCCATCAACCATCTAAGTTTCTCCAACGCTCCGGCCCCGCTGACGTCGCAAACGTTCGGGCAAGACGCCGCGCAACACGCCGTTACTACTTTCCCGAATGCGGTTGGTCTTTCGAACGTGCAAGCGTCACCGAGGTCAGAGTCCAGCCACAGCAGTAGCGACTTGCAAACGGAGACTTCCCAAGGAAGCATCGCTCTGCCTCGTCCAAGCCCGCTCAATGCAGTGAAAACAAGCATTGTTCCGTCACCTTCAAGTGTAATGCCGACCATGGAGTTGTCATCTAATGGCGCTTTTCTCCGCTACATAAAACCACAAGGGAAGCTAGAGTTCGTGTGCAGATGGACTCTTCAACAGAACGTGCCTTGTGCTAACGTGTATGCAAGTATACAGGAGCTGGTGAAGCATCTTTCCTTGGAGCACGTGGGAGGGAGCGAAGGTAATTCCTCACACATCTGCAAATGGTATGAGTGTCACAGGGGCGGCAAGCCGTTCAAAGCCAAGTACAAGCTTATCAATCACATTCGCGTTCACACTGGAGAAAAGCCCTTCTCCTGCCCCTTTGCAAACTGCGGCAAAACGTTTGCGCGCTCGGAAAACCTCAAGATTCACAAGCGCACTCACACGGGAGAGAAGCCGTTTGTCTGTGAGTTTCCTGGTTGTAACCGTCGTTTCGCCAACTCGAGTGATCGTAAGAAGCACTCACACGTTCATACGGCCGATAAACCATACCTCTGTCGAGTGCCAAGCTGTGGCAAAAGTTACACGCACCCAAGCTCTCTTAGGAAGCATTTAAAGATGCATCTCAAGGCTGCAAACGGAAGCCTGGCTTTGGACACTAACGATACTTTGGCGGTGATCTCGCAAGCGGAACTACAACTGAATGGTTCAAGTGCGTCTAGAAACATGCAACCATGGTTTGCCCTCGCTCAACAATCAGCGAAAAATTCTATGCCACTGAATGCTATACCTGTGAAAGAAGAAACCTCTAATTGATTTGCCTGAACACTTGATTAAGACTCTGAACGTTTTGGAGGAGGAAAAATCATAACTGATCGCGTTGTGAGAATTCTTCTTTACGATGGAAACGTTCGGACAGTCAGATGGTGGATTGTTGTAACATTTCTTAGACAAACGTAAATCGTTTGTTTTACTAACCAATATTTAAGAGCAAGACAGAAATTCGAGATTTTAATTTGTTTGAAATCGTTTTCAAGTCGTAGATCCGTTTCGGTTTTTTAATCCTCGCACATGAACAAAACACATGATTCAATTGATTATCTCGACTTCGTACAGATTTGCCATTTGTTAATAATCAAAAACACATTTTTTTGCAAATTCTTACGTCTAATTTGTACAGAATCGTATTTACAAAGAAACAAGAATTATATGCCATCGTTCGCGTTCGCGTCAGTAATATCGACAAATATGTTCGTAGTAATTTATTTTACAATCTATTTTTTCAGGCTCGCGTCCAAACTCGTACGATTTAATAAAAATAAGGATGGTGATGATAGATGTGTCCTGGCTTTATGGCAATTTTCTGCCTCTGTTTGTCTTTGAGAACAGTAATATAGGCAGCCTAGGGTAAGGTCAAAAAGCATGTGTCGACACTCGCTTACATATAACTTCTTATGAACCATTTATTGCCCTTCGGGGGGTGGATACCAACGGGATAGTTATATGCGGGAGGACAGATTTACACAAACGCGATTTGCGAGCAAATTGTTACACTGTTGTTACATTATTATCTACTGCGCCAGGTTCAAGATGCGTTGATAAACGTGGTTTTGATTAAAGCGGGATCGGTATCATTCATTTGCAGCTAGTGTCAACACGACATGACCACTGATCTCGAACATTCTAGCAACTGTATTTGCCAAATTCTATTTTTGAGCGCGCGTGTGTGTGTTTCACAGACGTATGGAGAAGCTCAGCGAAATCTACGTGTACAGTAGACCAGCGTGGTTTACGACTATACGTAAGATCCGATCGAAAGGGGGCCGCACAGCTTTGGATGATCGTGAAAGCCTTTTTTTGCACTTGAATTAAATTGAAATCTTACATCCCCCCAACTGAGGGTCATGGTTTGGTTTGTTTAGTTCTTCCGCATGTTTTGACTAGTTCTCTAAATCGCTTTTCAAACAGACCACCAAAGGATAACCGCGTAGCAAGATAAAGTACTTAACGTTGGCTAAATGCAAGAATGTATTTAGACAGTTCGGGTAATTGAAGTAATGACTGCAATTTTTGCGGCCGTTTATGCGCGCAGTTTCTTCATGCGCGCAATTTTTGCATGTGCGCTCCATCTGATACGCGCGCGTTGACCTTTTTTCCGTTCTACAAGAACTGAAGTATTAGATGGCTGATCGCTAATCCCGTTTATTTCCAGCTATGCCCTTGAATCAATCACGGCTGATCGCCTTCCACTTCTAAGACAATCTGCTCGTAAAGGGAACATACATGGAAAACAAGCAGGTCCCAAGAAATCATATTAGATACGTTTCTCCAGTTTCGAAAAACAGGTATGCGATTGCGATCGGGTAAAGCTGTTCAAGTCACGGCTATTTTAGTACTGTACAACATTTCCGTACACAAATATAAAGAGGCTATTATCGAGTTGATTTTGTGACCCGTTTCTCTCCTAAACATTCCTGGATGTTACTTTACTCTTATCAGAATGTTTTCATGTACCTCACACGATCTACAAAGTATCAGTGTTATTTTTACTTCCGTTCATGTGTGTTTGGTCCAACGCTTATTAAATGTCGCCATTGGGCCGATTCTTAGACAGCTTAAGCTATAGTTGGCAGTGCATGTTTTTGATAATTAATTCTGTTTATTGCAGTCATCGTGGGTTGTGGGTTTCATTCTTTCGTCGAGTTTTATCATGATAGCGTTGTTAAATTCGCGACGCTCTTGACATTTCGAAGCGTAGGGTTGCTTTTTTGAGGTAGAACACACACGCCGCGTTTGTGAGAGCTTCAAAGAGCCCATTTGTCATAGCATAGCATTCGAGTTATGATGAAATTGGACGCGCTTCTTCCAGTTGATTGCGTACAGATTTGAATGGTTTTCACTTCTAGATTGCTCGGTAGACGAAATTGAGTATCTAAAAATAACCCTTAGAGATGGTAAAAGAATCTTTTAATTTGTGCTTGCCGTAGTCTGAGGGGGATTTGGGTTTTAAATGCGGTTTGCGGTATTCGGGACAACTTTGAAAATTTTTGCGATCTTTCTGTAACAGCAAATTTTTAATTGCGGTATTGTGGCATGCATTCTTTTAACCTGTTCGACGTTTTGAGCCACGATAGTAGGCATGAAAACTTAATATTCTTTGTTTTCCCGACTATTCCATCAACAAGACGCCTTACTCCGATGAATATGCAACATGTTCGTGAATGATTGTTTGTAGTTCTAGTTAATCTTCAATTTTTTTGTTAAAACAACCAGTGAGGTTAAACCCCCAGGGGTGGGGCTCCCGTATAAAAAAGACGCGGGTGCTCGTCGGAAATTTTGAAAATAGCCTCTAAGAGGTACCAAGATCCTGCTTTGTGGGCGCGGCTTGAATTTTTTTTTTTTCACACCTTGTAGGTCAATTCTCAAACTACAATTAGTCTCCTGCCCTATTTTTTTCGGCTCAATACCCTAAAAGGTACCGTGAAAGCTCCTGCTGTGTACCCTTTGAGGCTGGACACCTTAAGAGGAACCGCCTTTTTAAACCCTTAAAGGTACGACTGGCACCACCCCCAACATATATGGCAGTGCCCCCCCCCCCCCCGGGGGGGGGGGGTAAACCAAGAGACTATGATCGTAGTCTCTTGCTGCCAATCATTCTCGCCACGCGTTTTTGCCGTCGTGAAAATGAAACCGCAAGCTAACGCGGTTTAGTTGGGAAAGAGCGAACAAGCGATGCCGCGACTCCCCTCCAGGCCACTCGCGGATCACGCTCTTTTCTATACCCCGACCAACCAAACAGCCAACCACGCAGACTACGTTTGTGGTAACAGGACATCGTGTCATCCAATAAACTGGACAGTGATTTATCCGCGGTCGTCCGATTTTGTTTATCACTCCTATGCTTACAGACGGAATTGGACTCCACTCAGTCCTATAACCATCATAAATTTCTCTTGTATAATAGTCTTCGATGTCAAATTTAGAAGACAGAAAATATAAAGACAAGCCTCACTGAAAAGTTTCAAAACGAAAATCGAAACTGAGGCTTCTTCTGGATTAACTCAATTCCATCTGAATTGTTTTCTATCAGGCCTGGGTTGTTTGAAATGAAGATAAACTCCATCCAACGGATAAATCATAATCCAGTGGATAGCGTGGTTTGTTTTGTTAACTCTTATCCATTGGATAGCAATTTATCCGGTGGATAGTGTTATCCAGCCTTCGAACAACTGGGGCCAGAACTTGTTTTGAAAAAGACACAACAAGAACCTACGAAACAAACTGTTCAGCAACAAAAGAAGGCTACAATACAAAGTTTTATTATATTTTATTTGGAATTATACATTAAAAATATATCTCCTGGTTCATATACAATACTCGTTTTCCTCAGCGCTGGGAAAACATATATTCAACTTCATAATCATTCACAATAATAAACTTCCCATTTTATACACCTATCCTCTTTTCAATCTCCTTTGTCTTTCTCTGATTATGTAGTTATGAAAAAGAAAAATCCACCCGTAATACCAATATTTAAGAAACGTTAAATGATAAAATTAACACTTAACTGAACAAAACTGAATTGTAACGAAAGAACGTCAAACCCCGCATGTGTGTAAATGTGAATTGCTGTTAGAGCAGTTTTCAATTGAGTGTCGTAAAACCAAAACCGAAGTTATAACTTTGGCCAATCATAAATTACAACGACGCATGAGTTAACCAATCAAAACGCAAACAAAAACACGTGTAGCCGTCAAAGAGCGCGGGAAAACGTGTCGCGCCAGTCACAACTGGTTCTGGTTTTACTTTTTGATTGGTTGAGAAAGTGGCGCGAGATTTTTTAAGCCAATGCGAATGACTTTTGACACTTGAGTGAAAACCGCTCTAAAACGAAAGCGATGATCCGTTCTCTGAGGAAGTAAGATTACCTTTTCACACGCAAACTCGTCATCTTTTCGCGTGTCAAAACGTGTCACACGCGTGTGCGACACGCATGACCAGCAACGGCGGTAGTCATATTTTGTTCTGATTAAAAATGGTTTTAAAGATTTAAAGTATTGAAAGCGGAAAAAGAATCAGGTAAAAGAGGTGTACACAACCTTGACAGGATCGCCATCAGAGCGATTTTAAAACTTTGTGGTTTTTAACATGTGAAATAATCAAATTATTCGCGAGAACACGCTGTTTTGTGGTCCATTCATCGAGATAGCCGTCTAGGGAATTGTATAATATATGATTTAAAATAATCAGAGTCGATTTTTTTCCCTGTCGTCTCTCGGTAAAAGGCTGGTTCCGCGGTTTTTTAGCATGTTGCGAAGCAACATGACGGAAACTTATGGTACCAAGCCAGAAAGAAAACCATGAGGGCCACAGCAACGGGAAAGGCGTTAAACGAAAGGTTTAATGAGCAGAACAATGGCTGTGCACGTGCATTATAATTCTTGGTACATTTCTTGGCCGTCCTCTGCTCAACAACAACGTAGAATGACCAAATTCTGCGTTACCTGGAGAACGTGAACCACGACGGCTATTTTTTTAAAATTTTTATTTCAAATTAATCGCTGTGTCCCAGATTCAGTCTCGTGACAGTTTTGACAGTGACGAACAAAGTAAATGACTTAAGGGCACCGCGAGATTTAAAATAAGTTTTTAATCGACGTTGTCCTTGGCGTCGCCGTCGTGGTTACTTAAACTCTCTATTACCATTCCCAGAGCACGAAAACAAGGCAGGTTTGATTTAACGGCCCATCATACCCCCTCCCCCAAATGCCCCAAAATAAAATATATGAGTCTCGATTCACTGTCTATTGCAATGCAATCTGTAAGACTACAAAATTTCATATTCCCCATCTGTGTCGAATTCTTTTGGCTCGTCGGACTCATAGTTAAGCTCTGTGAAATCTAAAACAGGAGGGAAAAACAGTGTAATAAAGAAACATTTATCAGTTACGCGGTTCGTAATGGTCTCAAATTTCAGCGAGTTTACGTCACGTAATTGGTTCAATCGTCTAACCTGATTGCTGGCTGCAGTTAAGCTCGTCACCAGGTCTCGGCGGTATTTCTAATGAAGGCCAGTGAGGTGGTCTTTCATCAGCCAGCTCGAACATGGGTCTCCTGTGACCGGAAAGGATATGCTACAAACAAGATAAAACAACTAAGTATGGGTTTCCTGTGACCGGAAAGGAAAATTGTAAGCCGTAAGCCCTGGGCTTAAGGGGGCTTATACAACTTTGTAAGGGGTTTAGAATGAGCTTTTAAAGCTTTCTTTAAAAAAAAAACGGCAGTGTTGATCGCAATACATTTTGCATATACTGGTGTTTAATTTAGCTTTAAAACATCATAATAAATCGATTTCATTTCCTGCTTAACTAGAAGAGGCCTTATGTCCGGGCAGGGGTGTGGGGCGGGGGGGGGGGG